ATAACTGTTTCCACCTTTTTCCACTGCCTGTCAGTTCAGGCAGTCCCCCAACTGGCAGCACTGTGGACACCTATTGCGGTCACATGGCCCCTGGGGGTCCTAAGTTGCAGAGGAAGAAGACCGATCGCCGGCGAGGAACAGCGGTGATCAGTAAGTACATGGGGCGGGAGAGGGAGGAAGGGTAGGGGTTAATTTAAAAAAAATATATATATATATATTTTTTTTTTATAATTTTTTTTTTTTTTTTTTCTGAGTGCCTCAACCCCTCGAGGCACTCAATACATGCAGAGCATCGGAAGCTTGCCTGATAGCTTCCAATACTCTGCTCTACACTGTCGGGCGCCACGTGCGGCAACCCTAAAGTGAGGCAGTGAGAGGGGGTGTGTCATGCGGTATCTCTTCCGGGTTTGGCATTACCGCTATGCGGAGCCGGCCCTGCCCCCTTCTGACGCGGCTCTCTGACACTACTTAGAGAGACCGCGCCAGAGAGAAAGCGCTTGGTAATTGTGGGATCTACTTCCGGGTATAGACACCGGCTCCACAAGCTTCTCTCACAAGCCTTCCTAAACCTACAAGCTGCAGTTGAGTTCCAATTCTAAAAACCCTAGGAGCATAACAGGGTGTTGTATGATGCCTCAACACCGAGGCATCGTGCAATAACCATAGAGCATCTGGAAGCGATCACGATTGCTTCCAGCGCCCAAATTAGCCGCGGACGTATGAGGTACGTCTGTGGTCCTTAAGGACCGTTTTTTGTTGGACATACCTCATACGTCTGTGGTCCTTAAGGGGTTAAGTATTGTTTGCTTGAGGCTTTGGTACTACGGGGGCCATTCACTGCTGTTCCTTTTTTGGGAGATTCATTTGGGAGCAAGATCCCGCCGCTTGCCACCATTTAAAACGAACATTTCTGTACCCTGAGTAATACATTAGTTCTCCCGAAACCCCCCAAGGTCGTGTGATTAATAGATTTCAGTCGTCGCATACCCAAACATAAGTTGAGACTTGTTGAAGGGTACAACAGGAATGTTTTATTATGGCCACTTTTATACACAGACACCCAGCATGGGGTCTCCATGCGTCTCTGTATCTGGGAGATAATGGAGTTTGCTTTGCTTAAAATAATTATCTCACAGGCACTAGAGGTACAATGAATAAAACATAAAACACCACAAAACATACATAATATTATTAGGAACCCCCTCATGTCTTCTGTCCCCAGATAGGTTGGATCTGAGTGTCCAAGTTGTCCAAATAGAGCTCAGATCCTGATATACACCCAAATGTACCTCTGTCTGCGTTCGGGAGACAAAATGGCCGCCATTTTCCAGAACACGTGTTTTTGGTTATATAAATGGCGGCAGATCAGAGAGAGCATTTAAGTTTGTTGTTGTTTTGAAGATAACGAGTCAGAGGGGTGTTCGGTAGTTAACGATACTGAACCAAAGGGAAACAACTTGGAAAAATTAAAGATGAGTTTAGGACAGTTTGTCATAATAACTATCTTTAGCACATGAATAGATGGAATAATACAGACTAGTAGAATGAACTAAAATTTTGCAATATTGATTATAATTATACAATAATAATGATGGTGCATCTAATATGGAGTTGTAAATAATATGTCATATCTTTTATTAAATAACAATAATATTAACATTCATATCCTGAAGGTAATCAACGTGCCATACAATTATCTAGTGCTTACATAGCTGCTAACAAATACACAAAAAACTTAGGCAATACACCATGTGGCAAACCTGGCCACTTTAAGGCTTACTGTATAACATGAGAAGGTTGTCTGCTTTTATTGTGTGTATGAATGTATTCGTGTATTTGCAATAAAGAGTATTCGTATGCTAACGGCCGAAAGCCGCTAGCATTTATATGGTAGTTTCACGACTAGTGACTTTAGACACTGTTCGTGAAACTAATAAAGTACCGAATGGGAGCCTATACACAGAGGGTCGTGTGGCTCCCATTAACCGATTGCAACATTGTAGCAATCGGTAGTTAAGTGCTTTCCTGGGTGGCCGTCGTTCGGTTACCGACCACGCGGCGGTCGGCCATCTTGGATCCTTTGTTAGCCCAGCGGTGTTTGGTCGTCGAGCGGCTGGAACTAAAATCGGCTACTCGACGGCGCGAACACCGCTGGACTTCCAGGCCGTTTGGGAGCACCGGTCCCTCTGTATTTTGTTCCCTAATATGTATTCGGTACTTTTAATGAGAATGTAAAATAAAGTGTGTTTCGTGCGGCGTTCGGTTATTTATGCTGGGATCTGAGCGGTACTTTCACGAAGTGTGCGCTCAGACCCCAGCTATCTACTGAACGGTCATTTAAGGGAATCACACGAATAATATTAAAGTTATGGATTTTTGTGTTAAAACCCGGTGCTGCTGTACAGAGGGATAATCCACTTAACAGGAGTTTCTAGTGGGAGTATCCCTCCCATACAGCAGTGCATGGTGGGAAAAATGCTCTGTATATTCATTTCCCCATGTAGTCCTCTACTGTAATATGACTGTAAAGAGACTAAAGAAACCCCTTGCATGGGGAATCACATAAATACTGGAGCTGTGAATAAAATTGTCAGTTGACTCCCAGAACTGTGTTTTGTCCGGTTACTGGGGGATTTGGGATATTGCCTTCTTTTCCAGTGCTTTACTTTGGATTACTTTCTGTACCAGCGGAGATATTGGGATTTAACATTGCAGCTCCGCTACACACCAATCTAAATTTCATAAATTTTCCTCCATCGGTTTAGCATGCAGCTGGAGGTATTGGTAAACATGCTGCCCTAAAATTCCACTCCCAGCCTGCCATGCTGCTAAGGTTGGACCTTTACCACTATCACCATTGTACACAGGCAACATGGGCTGCCACCAGTGTGCCATCAAGGGGAAGAAGGCATGCTGGCCACTAGGAGCACCCACTGACCTACAGTCTTCGCAAACTACTACTTCAACAGTAGTATGCAGGAACAGTTTAGGGAAGGGATGATCCTGTTTAAAATGAATCAGGAGGGACATATTGCAGAGTAAGGGCTAAAATCAGCTATTTAAGGACTCCCATTCTTTCATGGAAAAATAAGCTTCTTCTGCACTGATAAGCTGAGCAATAGGGAGGGTGATTTTGTTAGACAGCTCTTTTGAGATATTCCTGATATGAAATCCAACAGAAGAGTGGGCTAGTGGACACCTCCCTGGCATGATGAGGAATGGAAGTGTGACTATCCCTGTCATATAATAGCTCAATACCCCCTCTGCTCTGCTTAAGGGTGGTAGTAGTGGCCGAGATACTGCTAGTTGTTGTGGTTGCACAGAATCAGATAAAGTACTAGTGGACTTTCTGCCAGTTCTAATACTTACTTTGTTCTTTTTCTTTCCTCAGTAATACATATTTGTGGTGCTTTGCAGATGTAGCTTCAAATTCTCCTCTTGTAATTTCTCTGGCTCATAGTTGCAGGGCAAGGGCCACCGTTAGGCGCCCACCAGGAAATGTTTCCTGGTGGGCTCCCCCTGTCTGTGGCCACAGCTCTGGGCGAGCGGCTCTTGAGCCGCCGCCATTGCTGGGCCGATTCTCAAGGCGCCCAAAAGTAGGGGCGCCGAAAGGAGCCTTGTCACAGGGGGCCCAGGAAGTGGCCATCTGACTACCTCAGGGCTCCCCCGATGCAGAGCTAGGTAAGGCAGAGCAGGCACCTATTCTGGTGTGGCCTCCATCCTCCCCTGACCTCAATCCTATTGAGAACCTTTGGAGCATCCTCAAGCAAAAGATCTATGAGGGTGGGAGGCAGTTTACATCCAAACAGCAGCTCTGGGAGGCTATTCTGACATCTTGCAAACAAATTCAAGCAGAAACTGTCCAAAAACTCACAAGTTCAATGGATGCAAGCCTTGTGAAGCTGCTATCAAATAAGGGGTCCTATGTTAAAATGTAACATGACCTGTTAAAATGTTTAAAAAGTTTAAATGTTGTTAAAAGTTTGATTTGAAATAGCTTTTGTTTTCAGTAAATATGCTGCAAACACAACAAATGAAAATTTTTAGTTCTTTACAACCTATAAAGTGTTTTGAAACTTACTGTGCGTAATAATTTGGAACAGTGCATTGTAAGTTTTTTTTTTATGTTTAAAAATAATACTGTTATCATTAGGAGGTTTGTTTAATAAAATTTGAATTGTACTCTTAATAGCTGATAACATGAGAATTATGCTGACTGTTTATTTACATCAATTATTTAGGTAAATGAGAAAAATATCATTTGCATAATAATTTGGAAGCGGGTGTATTAGCACACTGTCTTATTGCCTCAGCCAAGGGTTCCACTGCCAGCACAAAAAGAAGTGGTGACAATGGACATCACTGCCTGGTTCGACTGGATAAAGTAAAACTATCAGAAACAAAGCCAGTGGCATATACTCGAGCTGTTGGATTGCAATATAAAGCAAACACAGCCCTGATGAAAGGATCTGGAATATTAAATCGGGACATGACTTCCTTAAGAAAACCCCAATGAATATATGTAGCAGAGCATATAGTCTTTTATTACCACAGGCTGGATCTCCAATATAAGGCTGTATCTTAAAGTGCTACCAATACTTATCCAGTTATATACCTTGGATTACTCAAGGCTCTTCTATCAATGGTTAAAAAGAGACAAAGGTAGCTTTGCAATTACATATCCCAAAAAATCAGTTTATAGTTAGACTCCTACAGACTAATCACCACTCACATATCATGAACAATTAAAAACAACTAATCTACCCGACGCACGTTTCGGCGCCTGTGTATGCCTTATAGAGCAAATGTAATCAGAAAACTCCACCCTTAGAAACCCTTATTGGTCATGTTCATCATTCATAGCAGGTGTCTTCCCATTACCTATTACACGGGGCGTGTCTAAATGAAAAGACAAGTCCTGATAGGAGACTTTTAAAACCTACATGTGTAAATGCACAGTTTGCTAATTCACTATCTGCTGCAACTCACGTGCAGCAGTGGGTGGGCCCATACATATCCCAAGGGGAAAGGCAATAGAATAGATGTATTAATATATTCATACATCTATTCTATTGCCTTTCCCCTTGGGATATATTCATACGCCTATACCTTTGTCTCTTTTTAACCATTGATAGAAGAGCCTTGAGTAATGTAAGGTAAATAACTGGTTAAGTCATGGTAGCACTTTGATACATCCTTATATTGGAGATCCAGCCTATCTTAGTTAGGAGTATCTAAGTATTAGGAGCCTATATGCTGTGCAACATATCCTTTAAGCATTAGGCATAACTTATCATTTACACATAAATGTTCTTTCTTCATTAGTTATTTGTGGGTTTTTTTTTTTTTTTACCCTTTCCCACAAATCTTCTGGGTTTATGTAGTCATATGTATTACACCTAGGGAAAAGAACTCTCTAGAAGAGTGGGAATACCAGGAGCTGGCTAGGTGACTAATGGCTAAAATACTAATACATAGAGATAAATATAAATATAAAAAAAAAAAATGTGTATTACACCTAATCACTACTACTGTATTAGGGACCAGGAACCAGAAAGAGACAGAACGCAGATGCAAAACACCTTTATTATAAATAGCAAATAATGAAATAAACCAAAAACAAAGTCCAGGAGGCAAGCAGGGGGTCAGACACCAAAGCGGGTAGTCAGACGAGCCAGGATCAGGAGAACAGAGAGCAGGGTCGTTTACCATTAGATATAGTTTGCAATAGAGCCACAAATAACTAATGAAGAAAGAACATTTGGTGCGGAGATGAACAGGTACAAAACAACGACCACTAAGTTTATCTGGAGGAACATTAACTTGTGCAGCCAGAATTTCCTCGACTAGAGGTGAGGTGAGGTTAGTATGGCTAGTGGATAGTATTCAGTCCGGAGGAATCACAATAGTAGGAGTTATCTCCTCCATAGATGGAAGAGAGAACTGTCGAGACAGGGCATCAGCCAATGTTCTTAGTACCGGGTAAATAAGAAACCACATAATTGAATCTTGATAGGAAGAGAGCCCATCTAGCTTGCCGAGGGGAAAGCCGTTTAGCTTCGGAAAGATAAGTAAGATTCTTGTGGTCCGTGAGAATGAGAATTGCCACTGAAGTACCCTCAAGAAGGTGCATCCATTCTTTGAAAGCTAAAATTATAGCTAGGAGTTCTCTATCCCCAATTTGGTAATTGCATTCCGCCAGGTTCAATTTCTTCAAGAAATACCCGCACGGATGCATGGAGCTCTCTGGGTTAAGACGTTGAGACAGGAGGGTGCCTACTCCTGTCTCAGACGCATCGACTTTAAGATTAAATGGTAAGACAGGGTTAGGGTGTACCAGTATTGGAGCTGCAGCAAAGGAGACTTTGAGAGACTTAAATGCAATAATGGCTTCCTGGTTCCATAGAGAGTCCAGCATCAGAAATAACATAGCCTAAAGATTTTACCTGTTTGCAGTTGAACTCACATCTCTCCAATTTACAGAAAATATTATTTTCTTCGAGTCTCTGTAGAACACGAGAGACGTCTGCATGATGGTTCTTGAGAGCTGTGTGATGGATAAGAATATCATCGAGATAAACAACCACACATTGCTGCAGCATATCTCTCAGGACATAATTTATAAATTCCTGGAAAACCACCAGAGCATTGGAAAGACCAAAGGGCATTACTAGGTATTTATAACGCCGGCTCCTGGTGTTAAATGCGGTTTTCCATTCGTGGCCCTCTTTTATCCTGGCAGGAGAAGGTGACTTGAGAATGAATTCCTTTGACAACGCATCGGTAACATACTCCTCCATGACTTGATTCTCTGCTACAGACAGTGGGTAAATCCGGCCATTAGGAGGAATGGTGCCAGGTTGGAGTTTGATACCAGAGTCATAAGGACGGTGTGACGGCAGAACGCTGGCCTGACCCTTGTCAAATACATCTTGTAATTCTTGGTACTCAGCGGTCAACAACGAAGCAGAAGATGTGCACAAAACTTTGACCAGTTTCTGGATACAAGAAAATGTACATTGCTGGGACCAAGATAATATCTCAGATTTGCGCCAATCAAATGTGGGGTTATGCTTCTGTAGCCAAGGGTACCCCAAACAACTGGGTAATATGGAGAGGAAATTTCCTGGAGTTGGATCATCTCATGGTGTAGAGCCCCTACAGCCAAAGATATGAGCACGGGCTCATGGGTTATGTGGGCAGGGCCAGACTGGGGATACAAAGCAGCCCTGGAAAAAAAATCTATGGCAGCGCCGCAGCACGGCGTGGGGAAAAAAGGTGAGTAAAAACACTATTTTAAACACACACATACACCATGACAGACACACACATATATACCATGACACACACACACACCATGACACAGAGAGACAGACACACACACAGTTACATAGCTGAAAAGAGACTTGCGTCCATCAAGTTCAGTCTTCCTCACATATGTTTTTGCTGTTGATTCAAAAGGAGGCAAAAAACCTAGTCTGAAGTGCTTCCAATTTTGCAACAAACTAGGAAAAAAAATTCCTTCTTGACCCCAAAATAGCAGTCAGATTTCTTCTTGGATCAAGCAGCTATTACCCCACTAATTAGAAATTATATCCCTGTATGTTATGTTTTTGCAAGTATTTATCCAATTGCAGTTTAAACATCTGTATAGACTCTGACAAAACCACCTCTTCAGGCAGAGAATTCCATATCCTTATTGCTCTTACTGTGAAAAAAAACTTTTCTTTGCCTTAGATGAAATCTCCTTTCTTCCAGCCTAAATATGTGACCTTGTGTCCTATATATAGCCCTCTTTATGAATAGATTTCCAGATAAAGGTTTGTAATGGCCCCGAATATATTTGTATAATGTTATCGTATCCCCTCTCAGGTGTCGTTTTTCCAAACTAAACAGATTTAAATGTTTTAACCTTTCTTCATAACTAAAATGTTCCATTCCTTTTATCAATTTTGTAGCTCGTCTCTGCACTTTTTCTAGTGCCATGATATCTTTCTTTAGAACAGGTGCCCAAAATTGCACAGCATATTCAATGTGTGGTCTTACCAGTGATTTATAAAGAGGCAAAATTATATTTTCATTCCCAGAATTTATGTTCCTATTTATACATGACAAAACCTTACTGGCCTTAGCAACTGCAGATTGACATTGCATATTGCTGTCTAATTTGTTGT